GTGTTTCAGCACCAGTACTTTTACACCGAGTATGGTGTAAACCTGACCTGTCTAAAGGCCATTTTCTTTTTAGTTTGCTGTATCTGTTCCCATTTCCCCTGTCTTTGAAGTCATTATTCTATGACTTCCTTCTTTATCTTCTGCCGTCACACTGCTTTAATAAACCCTTGTGCGCAGAACGGAGACTGTGGTGTTGGACAAAAAAAAAATCAAACATTCATTTTGATAACCTGCATGATCAATAACTATTGATCCCTGTCATTTGCATAGTAATGGGAAGACAGAGTTATCAGAGTTGATCTGTGGAGCTCTAATAGTGTTTCCTGTGGGAACTTCGAGGGATAGTTCACCCAAAAATGAAAACTGTCATAATTTCCTTATTCTCATGTTGCACCATATTACTTTCTCTGAAGAATATCGTGGTTTCACTATAATTTGTGTGAATCAAGCTGCTAAGCTTCAAAATGACAGAACTAACACCACAAAAGTATAATTTGATGGTGTTAGTTTAGTTATTTTGGAGATGGTGTTTTTTTTGTTTTTTTTTGTTGCAGTTTTGGACCTTGATAGCCCCAGTGCACATACTCTTTCATTATAGAAAAGTGAACATGAGAAAAAAAAAACCTGGGTATGCACAATATATCTCATCTGTCATCCCGCTTATTCTTGGCTGTCTATCCCATCCTTTTTGTAGCTTTTGTTTTTTCATATTTGACATCTTTTTTAAAGCTTTTATGAGGTGAGAATTTAAGTACTCGTGGGGTACTTTAATTTGTTTTCACAGAAAACAGCTGTAAATAAATACATCTCTGTCTTTCCACCTGTCTCTCATTCTTTCTCCCTCTCTCAATTTCTCTCTCCCTCTCATGGTTATCAGGGTGAAACATTTGCGTGGTCGGTGTGGGAACACTTGCGTGGGAGGTGCTGTGAAGCATGAGAATTGATTGGCTGGCGTGTGGGAGGTGTTTGTGTGATTGGAGCCCGTCGTAATGTGAAAGCAACCTGCACTTCAATTTGCTTGACTTCTTAACTCCAGGTGTGAAGGATGGTCACGCATTAGATCCACTCGCAACCTGTGTTTGATTAGGAGATTTTTATAGCAAAGTTCATCAAGACTACTGACTTTTAGCCCAGAGTCATTTCCCACTTCCATCACCTTACATAATAGAGTCAAGGCTCAAGAGGATTTATTACAGATCAGAGGTGTGGTTAAAGTTTGAATCTGGCTTGCAACATTTTCCATTCACGTCTCTTTCCCCTTCATTTCCTGTTCTAATTTTATTCTTCTCCTAATAGAAATGGCAAAAAGGCTAAAATTATTTAATGGACAGGTCTTTTAGTAAAGTCAGAAATGATCTTAATCACATAATATGCTAAAATTGTTGTAGTTAATAAGAAATGTTTCTTGAGCACCAAGTCAGCATTTTAGAATGATTTCTGAAGGATCATGTGACACTGAAGACTGGAAGATAATTAGCTTTGGCATCACAGGAATGAATTACATTTAAAAAATATATTAAAATAAAAAAAGTTATTTGAAATTATAATAACATTTTCACAGTACACAGTTTTATTGTATATTTGACCAAATAAATGTCGCCTTGGTGAGCATTTTCTTTTCGTTTCTGTGTACAATGTTTTTTTTTATGTATATTGCTTGTTACTCTACGTGACCTTGTGAATGCCCCCTGGGGACAAATAAAGTATTTTAAATTGAAATAAGACACTTCTTTGAAAAAACAACCTGAAGTAAGAAAATAGATCAGAATGTCAAAAAAAAAAAAAACCTTGCCAAAAAGTTTTGCCATTTCGTGTCAAACCAAGTGCTGTGCAAATCATTCAGTCTCTCTCCAAACGGGCTCGTTTACAACAATTACTGCAGTCCATGCAGAAATTCTGCCGTAGCATTAACTGATGTTCATCATGTTTTATTCTGATCGTTGTCTGTCATGACAGGGTCAACTCTAAATCGAGGGCTAGGAGGTTAAACGGCAGATGTAATTGTGCTCACCTCACAGTCTTCTGGAAAGAAATGAAACCAGCGCCATTACCAAAGATCATTCCAGAGTAATTGAGGATGACCTATGTAAATCTATGCTTCTTACAAGATGGATAAACTTTCCACTGCACACATGAATGAGTAATTTAAAGCTGTTTCTCTCATTGCTGCTGACCCTCTCTGTCTGTAATTACATACTGACACTTAATTACCACATCTCAGACCAGAAAAGACCAAGTAAAATGTCCATGTTACTTACAGATGTTAGCTGGAAAGGGAGAAGACCAAGCAAAATTTACAGACTTATGTCTTATGCAACACCTTATGAAATTAAAAAGAGTTTTGTAGACATACATATGCTATAGTGTACTCCTAGTTAACAAAATGAACATGTAGCAGATTAAACATCTACATTCTTTTCTTTCAGTGGAAATATTGATGACTCTAGCACTCACATTCAGAAATGTCCAATCAATTACTCAGTATAATGGCAAAGTCCCTACCTCAATACCATCTATTTCTAACTAGCATTAGCAAGTAGCAAATAATGTCAATGGCTGTGAAATGTAAAGGGTTTTGGCTTTAGTTTATGACAAGCCCTTTCATATCCCTTCCAATCATCCTGTTTCAACATGGAATACATTAATACAGGAACTGTGAAAACTGTGCTCCTCAAGCCATTTAAAGGGGTCATATGATGCGATTTAAAATTTTACTTTCTTTTTGGAGTGTTACAAGCTCTTGGTGCATAAAGAAGATCTATAAAGTTGCAAAGACTAAAGTCTCAAATCAACAAATGCCTCGTTTATAATGGGTTTTAATGTTTTTGTCTCGTCGCTCCGGCCGGGACACGGCATCACAATATGGTAAGGGGCGTAAAATTTCCGTCACACGCTTGAGGTATTCGGCCAATCACAACGCACTGGATAGCTGGCCAATCAGAGCACATCTCGCTTTTCAGACCGATGAGCTTTGTAAAAATCAACGCGTTTCAGAAAGGCAGGGCATAGAGGTGAAACAACAATGTACAGTATGTGGAAAATAATGTGTTTTTTGAACCTTAAACCGGATAAACACATTTCATTACACCAAATACACAAAATAATGTTATTTTTAGCAACATCATATGACCCCTTTAATGGGCTCTTTAATTTTTTAAGTGAACGCAAAGGACTGTGGAGATATTAATAAACAAAAAAGACTTATTTACTCAGCAGACGTTTAAAAAATAAAGTCAAAGTCCTTTTAAATGCAAATCATTTTACTCTGCTGTCATCTTTGAAACTCATCTCGGGCAGCTATTTCCAGTAGCCCCTCACTGCAGAACACAAGATCCAGGGGGCATGGTTGGATCCACATCTAGGGGGTGGAGATTGGTAGGTTTAGGGGTGGAGATGGGTGGGTTTAGGGATCAGGGGGTGGAGACGGGTAGGTTCAGGTATATGTAAGGTGGGAGGAGTTGGATCGGGATCCAACCACGCCCCCTGGATCTTGTGTTCTGCAGTGAGGACCATCTCGCTATTTCAGTAATGCAAGTATAGCTTCTATCTCTTTGAATGGGGAAACATCAAATTCTCCAAAGCTTAAATGTCATATTTGAAATCACCAGTGAAATCTGACAATAGCTTTCTCATAAATGTTGTTTCTTATGCTTAAATTGTGTTTAAAATGCTTGTTTTTTCAGGCTAGACCAGCCAATGCACATGTGCAGTCCTAAGTGCGCGTCTCAGAGCACTGACTGTTTCTATGGCAACCAGAGCTTCCAACGGCAGCTGCAGTGAAGCGATGACTTTATCAATTAGTGATCGGTATTTAGCGATCTCTTTTATTTATAAGGTGGCACTATTCCACCATATTGTATGTTTCACTTTTTCCCATTTATAAGTAATATGCGTGCACCGTTTTTGTATAAATAAAGTCTTTAAAATGTACATTGCATTCGTTTCCGTGATCTCTGGGAATTGAGCCCTTGACCTAAACTAATGTCACATTTAACCATTTCATCTACAGCAACTCTCAAATAGCTGAAGGATCAAGGCATAAAGAGAACAACAGTTCAATGTGACAATAAAACACACACACACACACACACACACACACACACACACACACACACACACTGCCAGATGTCAAAGTGATAAACTATATACAGCGTCCTTTGGTAAACACTAAATAATTCACAACTAAACAAATGTATGTTTTTAAGTGCAACTCTCTGTCA